TCTCGATATATTGAGTCGCCTATGGGTTCCTGTTATAAGACACGCGGAATCGCCCGAGGATTCGCGATCGCAAACAGCCTCCGACAACCCCATCACAGGTTGCGCATCTCAGCTTTTAGAGACTTGGGCAAGAAGCCCAATCGCTCCACTCGAGTCTACTATATGGGGACTCGGCCCTCACGCCGTAATTATGCGGGTAGGTAGAAGCCCTGCTAGAACGTGAACGGCTTTTCAACGTTTTCCCTCCTCGGATAGCTGTGCGCTGCAGACTTGCTAGGGTTGCACCTTCGAGAACGAACGGGGAATGAGTATCAAAATAGGAAGCTCGCTTGGAGAGAAGTGATTGCATTATGAGTGGCTTGCCACTTGCCACAGGGGAGAAATGAGCCGTAAGGGGGATTTCAGAAATTTCCCGAAAACAAAAACAGCCCCTAAAATAGGGTCTTGAGGCCAGCCATGATAACATCAGTGTAAGCAGAAACTGATAACGTCGACCCCAAGCGAACAACGCGGTCTTGTTGGATCGGGTTTGTGTCCGGAAGGTGACAGCAATCAAAGAAATCAGGGGATCCTGCTCCTTCCGCTTGTTGCCCCCGCCCAATTGCTCAAGCTGCTATTATTAATGAGAGCCCCAGCTTCTTGCTGATGAGGTGAGAGCCTGAAAGAATTAAGTACCAGTACTCGAGAGAAAAGGTGAGCAGATGAGAGGATTGGTGGCGGGGTCTTGATGGTGTTGAAAGAAGAACCTTGAACCATGTCGGCAAGCAGGGGAAGGTGGAAGTTCATGGAGTGTCGTTGAAAGAAGCCGAGAATCCCTCAGCCAGAATGACCAGGGTTTTGGCTCCAATGAAACACAGCGGGCCCATTGATCAAGACCTTCCTTTCATTGAGTGGGGTTAAGTATCGCAAGCGGCATTGCAACGGTACCCTGAGACCCAATGTTGTAGCGTAGCCTCAAAAGGGAAAAAAAGAGGGTGTCCGGTCTGTGGGTATTAACTGCAAGTTCAGTTCATGCTTGTGGCCGAGTGGTACCGGATTACCGCCCCACCCAGGACCACGTTAGCAGGCTCAGACTTCCTCCACTCCCGCTCCTTCGCCGCCCTGGTGTCCTGTTGTCCACTCTGTGTGGGCGGTATTCGTCGTTGTGGGACAGCATGTCTGTTCCGTGCAGGATGGGCCGCCTCGTGGCAGAGACAGAAGTACATCGCGGAATGTAGCAGAATAATTACCCCCATCACGAACAGGTGTGCCTAGATGCAGAGATCCATTATTATTATCGAAACCTGTGCATATGCTCTGTCAAGACTGCCGGCATGTGTCTCGAAACACTGCGCCAAGGAACAAGGTGCACGCCATGACCTGGTACTTCTCGTTGGCCCTCGTTTGGCTCTGCAAGTAATATTATGAACGATCAATCACCTTGCCTCGACCAAGCACACTAGCTCGCATTTCAAACATTTTATCCTGTGCATTCAAAGGTGGATTGAAAGATAAATGAAAAGGAAAAAAATCGAAAAAGTGGGAGCAGGTAGAAGGTACATGGAGAGAAAATGCAAATACAGTAACTACTGGGTCAGTTTATCCAACAAGCCGCTTGTCGTTTATCTTGGGGCGTGGGCTGTCGGGAGCGCATCCGAAAGAGAGCCATCGTGTTGCTGTTGTGGCTCTCAACTTCTTGCCAAGAGGAATTAAAGCTCAGCTTGCTGGGGGCGGAGGGCACACAAGGAAGCGCAGCGGAGTTGTCGACGCAATCGATCACTAGTACCTGCAGGAATGGCATACGGGTCCATTTGGATACATCAAGGATGGACATCCCAGCGACAATTCTTCGCCCGGGGCAAAGCCGTGTCATCTTGTCTGCTGTTAACACTGCCACGTTTTCCTACATCTTACGTGTATGTCCAGTCCGGGGAATGACCGAAGGAAGGAGCTAGAGTGTCGACTGCGTTCGAAAGAGACGTTTATCGTGTGCACCTTCCCCCATGGCACAAAGAGAGGAGAAAATCTGACGTCCTCGATGCCTCGCCGGTTGGTCAACCAGGGTACTACTTGCCCCGAAATATGCTCAGAAAAATCCCGTTCCAGATGCGGCAGGCGCCGCTTCCAGAGCCGAAGCTCGAATGCCCTTTCGCTGGACATTGATCATGACAACCTCTCGATCTTTCCGCAACAAGAGGGGAAAAAAGGGAAAAACAAAATAGGGGGTGAGGAGGTTAAGGAGAAAGAGGATAAGAGAGTCTGGGGGCCCTTGGTAGGGCACTCGCTACCAGGCGGCGAGACTCAGCGGGAAGACAATCTGGTCTCATAGGATGACGTGCATTATTTCTCAAGAGCCCCGAAGTTCGTCGTCTCCGGGGTGGCCCGCCATCATCTGTCCCCTTTGTACCATCCAGCCAACCCGCGTCCTCCGAACTTGGCTCGGTTTTCAGTCGCTGCGTTTTGGTGCTCTAGAAAACGCGGAGGAGGATCGATGGTACGGAACACGACCTAGAACTCAACCTGTGTGAATAGCCCAGCTGCATTATACACTACACGAGCGCCCGCATCCAGTATCCCCATTCGGTTTGTTCTTCCCCAATTTTTTTCCCCTCTCAAGAACCTATTCTTGAATCCATGCAGTCTTGACAACCAGGGGCCGCAAGCTTTCCGTGTAATGGACTCAAGTCTAGGAGCGGGACTGGGGTATGTGATGCGATGCTGCAAGTGACTTGTTTCACATCTGGGCGGCACAGGGGGCGGAACGCCTGGCGAAGGTTTGGCCGACCTTGAATAAAGTCGTGAGTCAAGCGAGCTTCCTGCCTACCCGCCGGGACGACAAGGGCACCAGTGCGGTACCTGGCGTATTGGACGCCAGTATCTCAGCCTAATAGTGATGGCCAGTCATCGCTAGGCCCGCGGATCCTAGATCAATTGATGCGACGGTTGCACTGAGGCGTCGATGTGGGCACAATTACGCGACTGCGGTGATCGTCACGATCCACCACTTTGCATGGAAATCCAAGAGTCATCCGTTCTGCTGATATCATAGCGCAAGGCTTCGGTCGGGTGGGCCTCGACTGGGGCTGGCGAATTCTCCAGGCAACAGACTGGTCGTCTTCCTCAACGGGATGAGGGGCACAAAGGGGTGTTTGCATATGTTGAAGGGGGAATGTCGTGTGTGACTGCGACGGTATGCATCAGAGATAGGGCTATTAAGTCAAAGAATCTTATCTCTTTTTGGTCCTGTTCGATGGGTCCCAACCAGGTTTTAGTTACAGCGGCCGGCCTAGCCTGAAGCGCTCGGAACAGCAACACGTTGCCGGAAGTTGCTCGACGGCTATATGGCCATGGCAGCATACTGGATATATCGCGCGGAATAATTATACAAGCAATTAGGAAAGCAGGTTCTGAAACGCTGAGCTATGTCCTAAACCCCTCTCATCATTCGAGAACGTTTCTCCCTTCCACGTGGAACCTAGGTCTGTGCTCTCGCATCTCCCTCACATTGACAGGAAAACCAACGGCAGGGTGTTGCGCATATGGCCCACGGCATCGCTATGGGGTATTTAAACCTCTGCGGGCCGAAGGCTGGATAGCATTTCCATCAATGAGGGCAGGGGCTCTAGGACACACCCACATGATGGATTGCTTCACTGTTTCTCGTTTATACCATCGCGGTATATACCTTTCATTCCCGTTTTTGTACTTGCGGTCTTTGCGCCTCCCGGTGCACGTAGAATCTGTGGTACCGTCGTCTGTAGGGCGGTAACACTCAACCAGCCTTGTCTTTAGCTGGCTCGCCCCCACGATATACGCCGCCCTTGCATATCTTGAACGAGGCATCGTTCCCTCACTCGTTGCCGTTAATCCGAATACCGCTGCTTGGTGGACTGAAGGATTCTATTAGTGCCCGCGGCCTGGCCCATGATGCAAACACCTCGCGCCGTCGAGTGGTTGAAGCGGGTCTGGAGCGGAACGACCTCGGAGTCTATTTGAAAGATAAAGTATGGAATCTTTTGCCTCGGAAGCGGCACATTCGAGGGCCGGGCGACTTGTCAACCGTGTCTGTCAGGCGAAGGCGGGAGCGGGGGTGGTTCTTCTTCATCATGGTCCTCCCTTCTCATAGTACTAGCGGCAGCCGCAACTTTGGTACGGACTCACGTTGAGCCGTTAAAAGCTCGGTGGGCCACGCCATGATTTCTTGTTACGCCCTTGGACGCCAGGTTTATGACAACCTTCCGGCGGCACACGCCTCTCGAAATCGGACCTGGCTAGCACACATCGGTTGTTGATTGCCTGCTAATGCCTAACGATGGGGTCTCCCGTGCCGCGGGCGTTTCCTTGACATGACAAACGTGTTAGTGAGGTGAGAAGGAGACATGGTTCTTTTGTAGCCCGAGCCCTTTGTTTCCAGTCGCGCCGGTTATGATAACCCAAAAGTCGAGGCAATTATTCAAAGCTGTTAGGGTGATGGCGTCGAACGACATGAAGTGGAGCAAAGGTTTCACATATTCCACATATCCTCACGCGTTCCCCAGATTCTCGGAAGAAATGCCCGACATGCCACATTGCACCACTGCGCAGCCGGGCTGGCCGATTTATGGAGACACGGGATTCGCCCGTCATCTCCAAAAGGAGACGTAAAGGAAAAGGGGGCAATTCCTGTGGTGAACTGTGAGGGCTTGAAGCGCACAAAAGATATCAAAAGTAGCAAGGGTAACTACAAGGTGCTGGTGGGCATCTGCATTAAAGCGCTCGGGACGGAGCAAGTTTTTGGGACTCCCATGGAGCGTTAGCAACACGAGGAGGAGGCGCAAGCTCATGCTTTGGCTCTTCCTCTCCTCACTTATGTGATGGGCGTAATGCGTGCTAATATGACAAATAGTGGTACATTATATCCGGAATGCTGCGCTAGGATTACATTTGCATTGTCATCAAACGTGGCAAAATAGCCATGGTAGTGACGGGCTTGAGGGGAGAGTAGCGTCGTAGGCACATCTCTTCTCTCGGTGATATGGCGGTTAACGCTTGACCCAGGCTGGTCTCTTCCTTGCCTTGACAAAGCCAGCCTTCTTTCTCTCAACCTCCCTGGGATCTCGGGTTACACAACCGGCTGTCACGGGGTTGTGTATGATTAGCGGAACGGAACAAACATGATATTGCTTTGCAGGTGACAGAGAGGACACGAATTCGAGTGGTTTAGGGGAGGAGCGAGAAACTTACCTCTTCGCAAGGCGGCCTTGAGATCAGGTTCGTGGGCCATCAATGCCTTGGCCACCGCCAAGGTCATGGCCTCGGCCTGGCCAGTTGGACCGCCGCCCTCTACAAGAGCCCAAACGTTGTACTTGTCCATACGCTGCGTGGCGTGCAGAGCCCAAATCGCGCTCTCACGATCGTGAACCCGGCCAAACGCTTCCGTAAGTGGCTTGCCGTTGATGAGCACCTCGCCAGTGCCTTCTACAACCCACGCCCTGGCAACGGCCTCCTTTCGTTTTCCGACACCAAGGGCCCTTCCAAACCTATCAATCGGGATGGGTTTCGGCTTGTTCCCGAACGGATCAATATCCTTGACCCAAAATTCTATGGCCTCCTTGACCTGCTTTGGCGCGAGGGCGGGATCGATCGTGTTGAGTCTCTTAGCGATTTTGAGGGCTCTTCCGAAATGAGATGCTTTGACCTGTTCTCCGGTGAAGGCACGGTAATCATCTAAGCTTTTCCAAGCGACACGGCGAGCTTGTTGCGAAGGCACGGTAGGAAGGTCCATGAATGTTGTGAGAAGATTCTGGACTTTGACGAGCTCATCGTTAAACCGCGGCGTTCGCGAGAAGTAGGAGGGCGATACGGGGACGGTTCGCGCGTATCTGATCTTGGAGAGTTGGAGTTCCGGTGCTGCAACAATCGAAGCAATGTCGAGAGCTCCGCTCTCTTCGAGCTGCTTGGTTGTCTTCTCGTCGAGAATGCCGTTGTCAGTCTGAAGCCCCCTGGTGAAGGGCCGCGCTACGGTGACTCGTCCCCATTGAGGGCGCGAGATGTGCCGCACGCATCGCAGGTGCCGCGTCGAAGCACTGAAGACGTTCATTGTCGGGAAGGTCGACCGAGGTCGAGGTCGAGAGCTGTCGCGTAATTAATACTCGAGACCCGTGGATGGCTCAAAATCGAGGAAGAGAATAATTTCTTTCGCTTCAAAGGCTGCGACTTGCATGGCTGGTGGACCGTGCACGGTGTGGCTTGACAAGCCACAGCAGCCTTTCTTGCTGCGTTGCTGGGCCGGCCAGAGGGGAAGCCACGAGTGGCACAAGGCCGAAACCGTCTCCCGCTGCCGTTGCCCATGACACACCGCCGAAACCTTCTGGCGTGCTTTCTCAGGCTTTCTCAGGCTTTCTCAGGCTGCGGGCGTTGGTGGGCCAGATTGGCCAGATTTTCCCGAAATTTTTCTGTACCCAACCCAGCATTCCTTTTTTTTTCTTTTTCTTCCTCTCCCTCCTCCCTTCTTCTCCTCTCCCAACATCCATCTTACTTCCTTTCCAAGACCACAACAGTCAATTGTTGCAAGGAAGCCTTCGTCAAAATGTCTTTCGGAAAGCTCTTCACTTTCCCCGTAAGTTGATTCTATTTTCCTTGCTTTCAACGTTTTCCCTCCCCACGCATCCTTACTGCTCATTTGCTAAGACGAGGTTTTTCTACCCCTCAGGAGAACCCCGCACCACCGGCATCCTCGCCGTTGCGAAGGCCAACGGTCTCGACCTCGAGGTTGTCGAGGCCGAGGCTGGCAATGCCACCGCTGAGCACAAGAAGGCCAGCCCCCTTGGCAAGGTTCCCGCCTTCCTTGGCAAGGATGGCTTTGCTCTCTCCGAGTGCGTTGCCGTCGCTATCTACAGTACGTATATTGTGTGAAGAAGGCTCGTGGCCTTTGAAGAATTTTTCTTTTGTCCCTGCAGACGTGATCGTGCTGCCCCATTTTATGATGACCAAAATTTACTTTTACAGTTATCCCTATCTGAAGTACCTGTGTTGTTAACCCTAAATCTGAAAATCTCTCTTTCCCCCTGCGTTGGGGATTGTCTCTCTCTTTTTTTCCAGACTGCGTGTCGTTTTCCGGATTTAGCCGAACCGTTCCGTTAACCACGCTTCTTTCTAGTCACCTCCCAAAACGAGAAGACCACTCTTCTTGGAAAGACCAAGCAAGAGTAAGTGATGCCTCTGGAGCAAAACCGAACAGTCGCACAGCAGCTAACGTTTCCCTCATAGCTATGCCTCTATCCTTAAGTGGTTGACCTTCTTCAACATGGAGGTCCTCCCCCATCGGTGGCTGGTTCCGTCCCCTCGTTGGCAAGGAGCCTTACAACAAGAAGTCTGTCGAGGAGTCTTCCAAGAAGGCTCTCGCCGCCATCTCTGTTGTTGAGCAGCACCTCCTCCACAACACCTACCTTGTTGGCGAGCGCATCACCCTCGCCGACTTCTTCTCTGCCGGTCTCATCTCTCGCGGCTTCCAGTTCTTCTTCGACAAGGCGTGGCGCGAGCAGTACCCTGCCGTGAGCCGCTGGTTCACCACGATCGCTGCTCAGCCCGTTTTCGACGCTGTCAGGGTCAAGTTTGACCTTCTCGATACCCCCGCTCTCACCAACACCGCCCCTAAGGCTGCCCCCAAGGAGGCTAAGCCCGCTAAGGCTCCCAAGGCTGCCGCCGCCAAGCCCGCTGCCGAGGAGGAGGATGATACTCCCAAGGAGGCTCCTAAGCCCAAGCACCCTTGCGAGGCCCTTGGCAAGCCCACCGTCCCTCTCGACGAGTGGAAGCGCCAGTACTCCAACAAGGATACCCCCGAGGCCCTCAAGTGGTTCTGGGAGAACATCTCCTTCGAGGAGTACTCGATCTGGAAGGTCAAGTACAAGTACAACGATGAGCTCACCCTCACCTTCATGTCCAACAACCTCATTGGCGGCTTCAACGCCCGTCTTGAGGGCTCTCGCAAGTACCTCTTCGGCAGCGCGTCCGTCTATGGTGTCAACAACGACTCCATCATCCAGGGTGCCTTCCTCATCCGCGGCCAGGAGTTCCTTCCTGTCTTCGACGTTGCTCCCGACTACGAGAGCTACGAGTTCACCAAGCTCGACCCTACCAACGAGGAGGACCGCAAGTACGTTGAGGCTGAGTGGTCCTGGGACCGCGCCCTTGAGGTTGAGGGCAAGGCCTACCCCCACGCCGACGGCAAGGTCTTCAAATAAATTAGCCATGCACGTGGTAAAAGTCTAAAATGAGTCGGGCCGGTTCCCAAGGGGAACGAGGTCCGTCAGGTTGATGAGATATGTTTGGAAGGGAAAAGGGAAAATAGGGCAGGATCGGGAATGGAATAGGATGGCAAGGGATGGAACAGGATGGGATAGGATGGGATGGGATGGGTCTGTAATTGAATGATGAGTCTCGCCGTGGCTGGTTCACCATGAATGATGTACATATGAAAGGACATGGCACCGGGTGTTAAAAACTATGCAGAGACGAAATGATACAATAAGAGAGGGGAAGAAGCAATGAAACGAGAGTTTCTTTTTGTTTTCTTGCCTTCTCGAATTGAACCGATACGCAAGATTTATCTATCCTTTGTACGTTTGGTTTGGGAGAGAGGAAGCCCTGGAAGCAATTCGTCTTGGGCTTAAAGATATTTTTGGTGTGAAGAATTCTGATTATGATTATTCATTACGCTAAGTATCATGTCCACGACGGTCCTCCATCTGGACCCGGAAGGGGCTTTGCCGCATATAGCGGCTGACATCTTGTTGATATGCGAGATTGTTCAAGTATTCGTAAACCTGGCGCAGGACGTCAAGCTCAGGTTGGTCTTTTACGAAGCTAGGGACCTCTACATGATTGTGCGGCTCCGACGTCGCCTTTTCTGGTGAATCATCAATCAGAATGGTGTTTGTCTGCGACCAGCGGTTTGGGCCCGTTTCCGCGCCATTGTCGCCACAGCTATTTGAGCGATGGGGATACGCCCGGGCGATGACACGATCGGACCAGGCGACTTCGAGGCGCTTGTAACAAACGACCTTGTTGTAGTAGGACCGGGGATCGAGGCCGAAGCGATCTCTGTCCCAAACGGCAGCGAGGCGGGACCGTACGTTGGCGGGGAGGAGATTGGTGACCATGGCCTGGACGTTGCGGGGCTGGGCCGACGACCAAATCATGGTGGTGAAGGATTCGACGCAGCAGGTGACGAACTCGACGGCCCAGGGGCGGGGGATAAAGTTGGTGGGCTGTTTGGAGGCCTTGGGGCGGTAGAGGAGGGTGCCGTTGAGATCGAGGATGACGAGGAGGTTCTGCCGCGTGGCGGCGACGACGGGCGGGAGGTTTGCCTGGGTGATGTAGGAGGAGAAGCTTGGGGGCACGGTGGCGGGGGCGCCCGGGCGGGGAGGGGAGGGGAAGGGGCGGCTGGGATCCGGGTTGGCTTGCTTCTTGCTGGTCTTTTGGAGCCGGAGTTGGTCGGCTCGCGGGGCCTTGGGGATGGCTTGATCTTGGCCTTGGCTGCGGAGGACGGGGTTGGGTGGGCCCCCTGGAGGGGGTCATGTTTGTTAAGGACTGGGTGGGGTTGGTGGTAAGGGCCTGAAGGTAAGGAGAATGCGCTGCGTGGCTTCTCGTGAGGGTTTGATCTCGTTGGTCCTGTGCCTGAGGAGGCGGGTTCGAGGGATGCGCGGGTTTGGCGCGGATGGGAAGCGCTATGGTGGCTGGGCTGGGTGCTGGGTCAAGTGCTGGGCGCGGGGTTTGGGTAGAAGTTGGCGGCAGTCCTTCGGTCAGTCGCCCTGGGGGAGCCATCTTGGCGGGATGAGCGTTGCCTTTGCGCTGGGTAGGCGGAGGTGAGGTGGGAGCGGCGACGGGGCCTACTTTTGTCGCTTGAGGAAGAGGCTTGGAGATGCGGGTGGCTGGGGCGCTGCTTGGCTTGGCTGGGGCAGAGGCAGGGCTAGAGGTAGAGGTAGAGGTAGAGGTAGGGCTAGAGGTAGAAGCAGAGGTAGAGACAGAGGTGGAGGCAGGTGCGGGATCGATTCGGACGCCGCCTGTTTCGTGAGTGCCGTGGGGCCGCTGTCTTGTACGCCTTCGCCTTCTTCCGTGCGCGGTGGTTCTAGATGCATCCGCCTGAGGCTTGGGCGCGCGCGCGTCGTCTCCCATTTTGGAAACATTGGACCTTTGCGCCGAGATTAGTGCGGCTGAGGACGTGAGGGAGGCGCCCTCCGTTGTGGTGTTGAGATCGCGGTCCATGGCTGACGGGAGATTCTTCTCAGATGGTGCCTGCCGTCTGGTGAAAGTCAAGTCACCGCGTGCGGGGAAGCTATGCGCGCGCCGAACCTGGAGCCCTTCTCGAAGGTTCGGGATTCTAAGCGTGAGGAAGGCGCAACGGCATTGACAGTGAATCAGGACGTCTTGCCGGGGCCGAACCTGAGCCAAGGCGGGTCGTAGGGGACGGATGGGCTTGTGGAGGAGGGCATTTGCGGACATATAAGGGCTGGTGGATAATTTGATGTATTCACATAACAGCACACGTCGCACTCCTTTGCGACACCAACCACTAGCATGGAGGGATATCTAGGCTTAATGGTTGGGTGGTGGGCAGTGGCGGAGGCACCTGGCTGCAAGGTCCGTCGAGGTGGAAGAACAAAAGCTAGGTGCGTCTTTTGTCGTCTTTCTTGAAGACCAATCGGACCTTGATAGCGGCGACATGTCTGGGCTCGTTCGTTGTGTGGAGAAATTCTCTGACAAGGGCGGCTAGTTCTAATTCTTTAGTCATCGCCCTCGTCTCGTCTTAGCTGTAAATCAACAACCAAGCAAAGCGATGCCCTTTGCATGTATTTTATTCCTTTAGATATCGATATGCTAGAGAAGCTATAGTGGATGGTTTTTGGATAGGCGAAAGAAGGTTGAGAATATATTTTTAAAATTGGACGAACTTACGACATCGATTGCTATTGACTATGGTGAGGTTGGTCTGCAAGGTGGGTTCAAGTTGTGAGCACTCGGGGAGCTAGTGGTGGGGTACAGAGGGACAGAAATCTTATCGCTTATCGGCAAGCTTTACCGCCAACTTTTTTTTTTCCCTTCCCTTCCCATATCGACCCAGTCCAACTCGAATCGACATTTGCAGCCAGCACCAGCCAGCACCACTGATTGCAGCAACTCGGTCCTCAGTTACAGACATACATAATAAACCGGAAAAAATCTACTTCCGATCACAGAGACATGCTCTCTAATAAGCGAAAATTGGGTGACATTGGCCTCGAGAGGCGTGTTCGGGCTCGCAAATTTGACGATTCCGATGTCGAGTATGAAAGTGAAAATGGCGCCAGCGACGATGGTTCCGACGGCCCGGAGGAGGAAGGCGTCCATCAATTAAGCGACGAGGACGACGAGGATGGCGAAGAAGAAGAGGAGGAGGAGGGGGTGACGAGAGTGAGGGCGAGTCGGGCGTGGAGGACGACGAGCCCCCGGTCGACTTAGCCAAGTTTTCCTTTGGCGACCTTCTCAAAGCTCAAAAGGCCCTCAACAAAGAATCCTCAAAAGAAGCTCGAAGAAGCGTCCGAGGACCCGCGCGGCAAGGACAGCCGCCCCAAAGCCCCCAAACCAACCCGCGATTCATCAGCGTCCAAACGATCCAGCAAGCACGCGCCGACCGAGATGTCGAGCAAACGGCCAGTCCGCCGCGGAAACGGATCGGCGTTCGAGGACTCGTCTTCCAAGATCAAGCGGGGCGACCCGCGCTTCGACCCGTTGGTGGGCCAGTTCGACGAGGCGCAGTTCCGCAGGAACTATGCCTTTTGGACGAATACCGCGACAAGGAGATCAAGGCCCTCAAGGCCGAGATCAAGAAGACGAGAGACGATGCCAAGAAGGAGGACCTGAAGAGGCAGGTCAAGTCGATGGAAGGCAAGCGCGATTCTCAGAAGCGCAAGGACGAGGAGAGGAGGGTGCTCGATGAGCACAAGCGCAAGGAGAAGGAACTTGTCAAGCAGGGCAAGCAACCCTTTTACCTCAAGAAGTCGGAGCAGAAGAAGCAGCTGCTCACGCAAAGGTTTGAGAGCATGAGCAAGGGCCAGGCGGAGAAGACCATCGTACGCAGGAGGAAGAAGATAGCCTCTAAGGATCGGAGGGAGCTGGCCCACATGGAGCGGGCCGCGGATGCGAGAGCACGGGGTCGGTGAAGGACAGAAAAGGTAGAGGGATGGCGTGGGGGAAAAAATCGAAAGAAGGGGAATCGATGCAGAGTGTGCGCGTGGTAGCTACATTTGGATGAGCGGGTTGTCTATTGTTTGATCTAACTTTTACTTCAACCTTCTTGGGTTCCCCCCTCACGCAAAGCCTCCCTCTTTCTTGTCCCGGATAGGACTACCAGAAAGTGTTCATTTCTCTCTCTCTCTATATATATATATACCCAGGCAAGACATCATACAGCGACCACCAAATACAAGAAATATTACAACGCTAGTTAAAATTACACGGAGCGAGAGCGAGCGCAAGCTCCTGCGTCAGGCAAGGTGACCAAACCGCCTTGTCTCGTTTCTCTCACGGCCCCGCCTTGTCCGCGTAGCCACCTCGCTCGAGGGCCTCTTGGAAGAGGTCCCGGCAGCGCACCCGGCTCCCCAGCCGCGCGCAGAGCAAAAACGCCCCGCTCAGCTTGCGGTGGAGGCTGTACGTCTCCTCCGGGGCGGGGCGAGCCTCTCCTTGAGCATGACGGGGATGAAGCCCTTGACGCGCTCGGTAATCGTCTGGTCGTGGAAGTCGTAGACCTCGGGGGCCGAGTCCAAAAGGGCTCGGCGAGGGTCAGGACGGACCCGATGTGCGCGTCGAGCATGGCCTTGCTCTCGAGGCCGGTGAGGTAGCCCAGGTCCTCGGAAAGCTGCTTGACCTTGGCCCGGTCCGAGCGCGAGGCCGCGGCGAGGAGGTGGACGTAGTGGTCGACAAAGGCCTTGGGGAACTCGCGCGAGGCGCCAAAGTCGAGGAGCTCGAGCTTGTCGCTCGCGGCGTTGTACAAGAAATTGGTCCAGTTGGGGTCCGTCTGCATGAAGCGGAACTCGGTGATTTCGCGGAGGCAGAGGCGTAGGAGCTGCGTGCCGATCCAGTCCTTTTGTCGCTGCGTAAAGGTGGCAATGCGCGTCACGGCGCTGCCGGGCAAGAAATCCATGGTGAGGACCTGCTTGCCCGACGCCTCGGCGTGCACGTCGGGCAGGACGAAGACGTCGTCTTCCCCGGCCATGAGCTGCTTGAAGCGCACGAGGCACGCGGCCTCGCGCTCGTAGTCGCACTCCCAGCCGAGCTCGGTCCGCGCGTTGGCAATGGTCTTGTCTAGGTAGAGGCCCTTGGGCAGCAGCTTGGTCGCCGTGAGGAGGATGCCGAGGTTGTCGAGGTCCGAGTTGATCGAGTCCGCCACGCCGGGGAATTGGATCTTGACCGCCACGGCCCGCCCGTTCGACTTGAGCGTGGCCTTGTGCACCTGGCCGATGGACGCCGCGGCGATGGGCGTCTCCTCGAATTCGTCGAATAGGTCGCGCCAGTTGTCCCCCAGGTTGGATCGCAGGACCTGGTCCCGCTGGTACGCCGGCATGTAGTCGGCCCGGTCCTGCACCCTCTGGAGGACCTCGTGGATGGGGCCCGGCAGCATCTTGGCGTCCTGGAAGCTCATCAGCTGGCCCATCTTGAGCGCCGCGCCCCGCATGCGCGATAACTTGGCCACCAGCCTCTCCATATTGCTCTCGCTCAGCATCACCGAGCCCGTGCCCTTGCCGCCCACCGCCCGGGCTAGGCTCTCCGTGAAGGCTCCGCCCAGCATCCCCGCCGCGAGGCCGCTGTAATTCCATATCCTACTTAGCCGGGTGGCCGGCACCTTGGATTCCCTAAGTACGTAGGAGCGCCCCTGGATCGGGTTAGGAAGCGGTACCTGGTCGGCTCCGCTCGCAGACGGCTCTGCTGCCTCCCGGGGCGCTTGCGGCTGAGCCTCCTCGACAGGCTTTGGTGTCGGCGGCGGCGGCGGCGGCGATGGTGGTGTCTGGGCGTCCGAGATTGGGGCTTCTCTCACCGCAGTCTCCGTCACGGCCTCGATCACTGGCGCTGAACTCGGTAGGTCGGCCCACGGCGCCGGGTACTGAGCAGCCGGCAAAGGTTGACCAGGGCTCCGCGCCGCCGCCCTCCCTTGCCGAGCGAGCTCAGAATTTTCGAGCCCTGGTTCGTTCTAAAAACATTGATATCAACGTTGGCGGGGACGTCATCATGCTCATCCGCCACCTTTGCCTTCTCTTCCCGGCCGCCCGCTCCCGACAGCGGATCCTGGTACCGCGGAGCTGCCGGGTGTTTGAGCGGCGAGTGCACCTCGCCCCCGGAAGACACGGGGAACTTGGCCTCTGTCCTATGCTGAAGCTGAGACAGCACGCCACCCGCTCCTGTTCCTACTCCCGCGCCCGCTCCCGCTGCCCGTATCGTGGGGCCATCGGCATGGCGTGGGGATCGTATCGTCTGCGCGTGCGGCGTATGCACGACCGGTTTCCCTTGACCCACCTCTGCCCCTACCTCTGCGGCAGCTTGCGTCCCGGCTTCCGAGAGCGGCTCCCGGGCGTCAAGCGGCGCACCGCCATCGTCGGCGGCTGTTGAAGTGTCGCGGGTCTCGGGTGCCCGCCTCCGGACGCTAGTTAGGCCAATGCCCGACGTCCGGCTCAGCGCGTCGAGCTGCCGCGCGCGGAGGGCTGCATGGTGGGAGGCGACGGATCGAGTCGCTCGGATGACCGCGGCGAGATCGATGGCGAAATCGGCGAGCTTCATGAGTGCTTTGTCGGGCCTCGTCGCGGGTGGAGCATTCTTCGTTTTTTTTTTTGTCAGAGGACCACCAGGTGGCTTGATTTGTTTTGGAGGGGTGCTCTTTTTCCTAGCTTGGGTGGTGAGCGTGCGTACTGCTAATCCTCAATTCACAAGGTTTGGTTCAATGGCTCATAAAATAATTTGCTAGCTCGAGAAGCTTGGGACAAGTTACATGGGGGTGGGCGAGCTCTGACAGCCTCGCTTAATTGAAATTTATGCATCTAAAGGATTTCTATATACTCCGTCTATTCCCGAAAGCATGGTACGCCTGGATATCAACCGTCCGATAATCTTGAGCCCGAAATTCATCTTCATGATCCAATGGATCAATCTATCTCCATTCCCCAATACCTATTCTCTCCGATTTCCCTTGCACCCCTCATCGTATCGGGGGCTTTGTTTTGTTAAACTAGGGGCTTCCTCCCATCGTGACAAGACACCCTCTCTTAGGTAGGCTTGGTCGAGGACCTCAAGTGAGAGCTCTTTTTCAAGGGAGTGCTTGAGCCAAAGGGGCTTGAGGCACCCTTGGGTGTCTTGCTGCCGACGCGACTTAGAAGCCTCTGAGCAGCGGGAGTTAGCCCGCCTGAAACTCGGGGACTAGAGGGGAACTTTGGAACCGGGGTTCTTTCCGCCTTGCCCGTGAAACCGTTCCGCGAGGCTTCGCGTCTCGATTGGGAGATGCGCTCCACCATCTTGTGGTGCAGCGCCTCCCGTTTCCTCTTGTCCTGAATCTTGAAAGGGTTCGGCGTTGCATCGCCCGGCCCGAGGTCTATCACCGGTATAGACACCTCGGGCACGGCCGGCTCGTCCTCGTCGTCCACGAATGTGTAGCCGTTGACCCGAGGCGTTTCGTTCCCGCCCGTAAGGATGCTGTCCGTTTTAAACACCTCCCTCACTTCTCCGTGGACGGCATCTCGGATGGCGGAAAGAGTAGGGGAGCTTGGCCTCGCGGGGATGATGGGATGAGGCGCCCTGGTATTTTCGTAAACGAGCCGTTTCGCCGATGCGGCCTCGGCTCTCGCTGTCGGGGTCTGATAGTTATCGTCCACACCCTCAGGGATGAACATGAGAGAATTTCTGGGTTCCAATTTCCAGCTGTCCGGACGTGCCGGTCTGTTATCCGAGTTCCGAATCTCTTCCTTGCCTTCGGTCAAAAGCCTGTCGTTGATCTCGCGCTGCTTGAGCATCTGCTTCGATGGGAGCTTATTCTCGTTCCAGATCCAACCGTTTTTATCCGCTTGCTTCTGATTCTGCTTGTCCAAAAGCTTGTAAAAACTCTCGTTGTCCTCGCTGGTGTACGTCGACTGGAATTTGCCGAGAGTGACGTTGGTATTGACGTCCGGCTTGGGTTCCACGACAGTAGACGTTGTGGGAGCAGGAGTGGCGGCGCCGTACATCGAGGGCGTCCGACCACCGGCGGCCGTCGACGGTGCGGGGTTGCACGCCTCGCAGGGGTCAAGGCCTCGCGTAGGCGTTGATCAGCGTTGATGATCCATGATGTGTTCTTCGATTCGAGGGCATCGAGGTACTCGTGCTGAGCTTCGGTCTCTTGAAGACCGGGGAAGAAGTCGCGGGCGATAATCTTGGAAAGCGCATCCGTGTAGGTATCTTCGTCAATGACCTTCTTCGGGCGTTTTATGCGCTTCACTTGAGGGGCGGGGGCATCAGTTCGGTGTCGTCGCGCTTGCGCACGAGCGCCGTCGAGGTCGGCGGCGGATCCATGGTGGCGTGTCGTCTCACGGCAGCTCCACCTCTTTAATGCCTTGAGATAGGGTTTCGTGTGCGGCTCTCTGGAGTTAAGAGGTGCAGCCGCGACATGGCTCGGGCGGGGTTTTGAGGCTTGTCGCGCAGCGTGAGGGAGAATGAGGAAGGATCGCTGAGTCAAAAATGAAAGTCCATAAAGGATACTATTGTCGAGAACCACAATGTAATGTGCCTGCAGAGGACCCGGTGGCTGGCTCTGGCTCGGGGTTTTTCGGTTATTAAGAAAGGCACTCTCAGCGGGCCGTGTCCATCAGTCCCTTGGCATTATGACTTACTTTTTGGTTCCTCTCGCTTTGCAGGGCAACAGGGCCCCCGGAGAGGTACAGGTATAGTGGGGTTGTTACCCGGGCCGGGGTTGGACAGACAAAAAAGGTTATCGGGCTGGCAGCGGTGATAGCCTTGTCAGTGACAGCGAGCGGCAGCGCCAAAGAAATTGTTTGATGGTTGTCGCCTCCATTCAAACCCCACACATTCCAGAAGGTCCTACACCCCACGGACCTAATTTTCGGCGGCAACAACTTTGGCCTCCCACCCTCTTCACCCAATTTCCCAAGCAACTTGAGAACCTCGCTTTCCCCCTCTCTCCTCTCCATTCTTCTACCTCGAATTCTCTCCTCGACTTACTTGGATTCATATATTATTTCACATCATCTCTCTCCTGCCTTTCTACAGCTCGCTGCCGCCCATTCTTTAACCCCACCATCCGAACTCCTTCCGACGACATCGGCCTGCCTCCAAGATGGCGACCGCCGAAGAGCAGGCGACGCAGCACAAGAACGAGGGAAACAAGGCGTTTGCGCAACATGACTGGTTCAAGGCTATCGCAAGTTATACCAAGGCTATCGAACTGAACGACCAGGAACCTACCTTCTTCTCGAACCGAGCCCAGGTGTGTTGTCGAGTGCCCCGCTGCCTGCCTGCCTGCCAGCCTGCCAGCCTCTAGTGAGCCTCTGTTGCTGACCATGTCTTCTTCTTCCTTCTTCTCCTCCCTTTGTAGGCCAACATCAAGTCCGAAGCGTACGGCTACGCGATTGCAGATGCGACCAAAGCCATTGAGCTCAACCCCAAATTCGTCAAGGTCGGTTCCCCTTCCGTGCACGCGACCTCAACGTCCAAGGTCTAGGACCTCACGTGCTCACCTTTCATAGGCGTACTTTCGGAGAGGCCTTGCCCTCACCGCCATTCTCAAGCCCAAGGAGGCGCTCAAAGACTTCAAGGAGTGTATCAAGCTCGACCCGAGTAACAAAGATGCCAAATTGAAGCTTTCAGAATGCCAGAAAATCGTGCGCCAGCTCGACTTCTTCGCCGCGATCGAGGTCGGCGACGAGCCGTCCGCCGCCGAAGGTCTCGACTTCGACTCCATGGTGGTAGAGCCCGGCTACGACGGCGTACGACTCGGTAACGAGATGACCCAAGAGTTCATTGACGATATGACGGAACGGTTCAAGACCGGCAAGAAAATCCACAAGAAATACGTGTACCAAATAGTTCTGGCTGTCAAAAACCTAGTGTACGATGAGCCGACAATGGTGGAGATGAAGATTCCCGACGATGTCAAGTTGACTGTCTGCGGAGATACCCACGGTTTGTCAAACCTCCTCCGCCCCCTTTGTTTTCTTTTTTTTTTTTTTTTCCTGCCTTCCTCGCTGAGACCTGGACCAATTCCACCTCCCCGGTGTCCTTGTCACTAACCAAGTTTACCTCGCTGCTTAGGCCAATACTTTGACTTGATGGAGCTGTTCAGGAGGAATGGCAAACCCAGCGACAAGCACTACTATCTCTTCAACGGCGATTTCGTTGATCGCGGTTCCTGGTCCACAGAAATCGCTTTGCTGTTGTACGCGAACAAGTGGCTCAGGCCCAAGCAATTCTTCCTCAACCGAGGCAATCACGAGACCGACGACATGAATCGCGTCTATGGCTTTGAAGGCGAGTGCAAGGCCAAGTACAATGAGCGTGTATTCAAACTCTTCTCGGAGAGTTTCTCCGCCCTGCCTCTGGCGACTCTAATCGGCAGCAAGTACCTCGTGCTTCACGGCGGTCTCTTCTCCGACGACAGCGTTACCTTGGACGATATTCGCAAGCTTAACAGGCATAACCAGCGTCAACCCGGCCAGTCTGGCCTCATGATGGAAATGTTGTGGACCGACCCCCAAGACGAGCCCGGAAGAGGCCCCAGCAAGCGAGGTGTCGGTCTCCAGTTTGGGCCGGACATCACGGAGAGGTTCTGCATCAAGAACGGGCTGGAGGCCGTCATCAGAAGCCACGAGGTGCGCATGGATGGCTACGAAGTGCAGCACAACGGCAGGTGCATCACTGGTAAGACTTAACCTTGATCCTTGACTATACCCACTTTGAACCTTAGGGTGTTCGACGACGAAGTGATTCCGAAGAAGTAATTTCAGGTCACTAACATGTCTTCTTCGTAGTCTTCTCCGCCCCCAAGTACTGCGACGCCACGGAAAACAGGGGCGCCTATATCAACATCGGCCCCGATTACAAGCTGCAGTTCGAGCAATTTGATGCAGTCCCCCACCCCGATATCAAGCCAATGGTGGGTCTCCCTTCCTTATTACTTACTCCACGGCGCTTGTTACTAACATGAACCTCACTTGTAGGCTTACGCTCAAAGTTCTCTCATGTCCTCCCTCATGTAAGACAGCAACTCAGGCGCGGGCAAGGTGGGGGAGGCGCAGGAAGGGTTGTTTTAAATCTACCACCTCTTATGGGCCACTAGCTTCAGGAAGACGAGGACTGGACATTTATGTGGACTGCAAATGAGAAATGTGTACAATTTATTGATGCATTTGGACCATGGCGTAGCCTCCCAAAAGGTAGTTTCAAGAAGGCGTCCTTGGGAAGAGTTTTTGCGAAAGGTTTCGGCATGGAGGAGGGCTTTGCATCCATGGATATCATACCCCCAAATGATACTAGAATAGCGGGTCCAACATTCATATACGGAAATGGCATCATCTTTTTATGGCTTTTATATACTTTGACGAGACGCAGTGGGGAAAATGGAACAAGGAAGAGAAGAAAGGATAAGAAGTGATAAACGTAGAGATAAGGCAAAGACACTCAATTGATGGATGTCTACCCAGGAATAGTGTCTCTCCTCCGCCCGCTCAAGCCCCCACATCCCCTTGGCCATCACGCCCAACCATGCAACCCAGCCAGTCGGAGCATTGGAGGATCTTGAGGGCGACGCGTTCACCGCCATCCGTGGTGCCTGGCCAAGCGGTGATGGCGGCGGAAAAGGCGGCGAGATCCGGAGCGGGCACACGGACCCAGCACCGATTGGCGCGGACGCGCAGGACGTCAACGGAGACGGCGCTGCCGGTGTCGCCCAGGAAGCGGGTGAGGGCGGAAGCGCAGTAGGAGCGGGCCTGGAGGGCGTCCATGGCTGGTTCCGCGGCGGAGGGAGAAGAAGAAGACAGCTCTAGATGCGCGTAGGCGAAGGGCGGGGAGCGGATGGTGTGGGTGCGGATCTCGGTGGATTTTTGTCCTTGGGCGCCGGTGTGGCGGGGGTTGGTTGGACGTCCTCCATTGGGGTGGTCGTCATGATTGCGAGGGAGGGGATGAGAAGGCGGGCGGGCTTCCTACTATTTCACTTTCCATCCCGGGAGACTGAGTTACGGGGAACCGGGAGCGAGCCGGTGCAAGAGTGAAGATTACATCAAATGGATTGGATCAATCCTCTCGGTCGATCGTGGGCGAGGGTCAAATTTTCGGGAGGAACGTTTTAGTGGGTGTTCGCGGCTACCGTTAGTGCATGTGATCGGTTCGTGCATTCGTTCAGCCCTACGGGCCCACTGTATTTATTTGCATTCCCCTAAGCGAGGGTCTGGATATAGTGGCCTGCAGGCTCCGCCAGGTACCAAATTTTGCAAGTGCAGTCATTTGAAGACAGACTGAACGGCAAGGATTTCGTAAGCCGCCACCCACCGCTTTTCAATCTGTCGCTCAGCAATTGATCATTGTTGATTGATTGATGGTTCTCAATCAAGCTCCGCCAACTTTGAGGTTGAAACTCGAGCTTCGCAAGCGCCGCGCATTGCCAACAACCCCTTTTCGAGCTCTGCAAACCCGATCTCTTCTGGAATCGCCAAATTTCTCTCCTCTTCACGCGCCCGTCGGCTCTCTTCCTCCTCCCGCCTCCCATCACCAGCCAGCGTCTAGCTCGATAATCCGCCGCCGAACCCATAACGAAGCTCCCCACCATGTCGCAACACAACTTCGTTACGCCAGGCCAGCAGCGCTATCTCCGCGCCTGCATGGTTTGCTCCATCGTCATGACATACAGCGTAAGCCTCGTCTCGCCTCGCCTCTTCGCGCTCTCTCAACCTCTCTTCGATCTCTCTCTCTCTTTCGTCGTGCCAAGCCTACCTACGTTGTGACACCTTCCGGCCAAGAGGAAAGGGATACAAGAGACAGAGACAAAAAGAAGATGATAATCTGCTCTTATTATACCCTGGGCTCCAATACTGACACAAAGATCTCTCAATCTAGCGATTCCGCGACGAAGGCTGCCCCAACTGCGAAGAATTCCTCCACCTCGCCGGCTCCCAGGACCAAATTGAGAGCTGCACCTCCCAGGTCTTCGAGGGCGTCATCACCCTCGCCAACCCCGGCAAGAGCTGGGTCGCCAAGTGGCAGCGCCTTGATGGCTACGTCCCTGGCCTCTACGCAATCAAGGTCTCTGGGCAGCTTCCAGATGACATACGGCAAATGATTGAAGATGAGTATAGGATACAATACATCCCGTAAGTCTCCCTGTTTCTTTGGACGATTCCCATTGCTCGGCGAAGGAGAGGAATTTGGCCATCGCTATACATGGGTGTTGACACTTTTGACGCAGTCGTGACGGAAGCGCCACCGAGGTCGACGCCTAATGGACCCATGCTCGACAGCCTACCGGCAACCTTGCTGGTGTCAAACGGAGCGAGGGTATATCTGTATGGCCGGGATGTTAAGCGAAGTAGGCAAGAGGAAGAGGGCAAAAGTGAGGAGTAGAAGTGGGCAAACTGCGTGGCGTTAAGGGCACAAAACATCACAAGTGCATTTATTGGTCATAAGATACAGGGTCTTTCTATCCGTTGTATTCGTATTCGTCAGGGTATCGTAAATAGGCGTGCAATATGGAATGATAAAAAGGTACAAACATGATTAGCACACCGGGAATCACCCCCGGTGGCATCCAACCTCGTCCCGGCCCTCGAAGAGCCAATGTCCATTTCCCTTGTCGTCTAAAAGTTCTTGCGCTTCTTCACGGATGGACCCCCGAACCCAGACCCCTCGCGCGCTCGTTTCCGGTCCGTCTCCTCCTTCATGATTCTTTCCGCCTCGCTCATCTTCTTCGGCTGCTCCGACATGACTTTCTTATTCTTCTTGGCCAGCGCAAACACATTCTTGGTTTGCGGCTTCGCGGAGGCCTTCATCGAGAATCCCGCCAGCCCCGCCGGTTTCGCCGCGGGGGCGGTCTCCTCCTTGCCCACGGCTGGCTCGAGTTCCTGACCGTCCGTGGCCACACCCGGGGCCGCGGTGTCCTTGGCGGCCGTCTCCTTGGCTGCGGGCTTAGGGGGCCAAACGATATCTTCAGTCCTTCCACCTCGGCCTGCTTCAGCTGCTGCTCCTTTTCCGCCCTCTCTTCCTCCGTCATGTGGGACGCCTGCGCCGCCGCCTGCGCCCGCTTAATCTGTTCGCGAATCATCTTCGTCTCGAGCTCCTCGTCGCCCTGGTCCTGCAGATTCTTCCGCCTCAGGGCCTCCTGCCTCCTGAGTGCTTCGGGGAATTGTCGATCCACGATATGAGCAGGCCCTTCTCCGTGTCTTCCACCCGGCAGATGCTTTCACGGCCGAGGTATTTGACGAATTCGGTAAGCGAGTTCCACTTTGTCGCGTTCATGTGGACGTGGTCCTTGTTGGCGATGTATCTAGATGAGGGCCGCTGTTAGCCCACTGCACCTGCTGGGGAAAGTCGAAAAAACTTACTCTTGGTAGAAATGATTCGCGTTGACCTGCTTCTCGCCATGCGCCGTCTTCAGCAGGCCGATGAAATCCTTCATCAACGTATCGCTATAATCTTGGATGAAGGCCTTCGAATTCTCCCCGACAATAACCATGTTTCGTACGTGCGACTCCGACATACAGTGCATCCTAATATCACATGTTAGCCCCCCTCGATGCGACGCGCTCGTTCGGCAACCGACCCGGGAAGATTTTGTACGTACTTGAAGGCATTTGCATCTCGGCAAGCCTTTTCGCAGACTTGGCAGTACCATCGTAGACGCGTCAGACCCTTGCTCTTGAGCTTATTCGAGATCGCCTTGGTTGATCCAGCCTCGGCCCGCCCCATGGTGTTGGTTCAGGTGTTAGAAAAGTTAGGAGGACTAAGAAAAAGAAAGAAAAAGAGTGGGAGAAGGGAGTATCGGGGGCGATGGCAATGCTCAAGGCTTTTTGTACGACCCTGATCACGCGGGCAACTTAAAACACCGTCGAGGAAGGTAGACAAGGAATTTATAGAGGCGCAAGTTGACGCAGATTTACCACACGAGGGGCACAAGGCTAAGAACGATCAGTTCCAGAGAGAGCGGGTGGCGTCCCAGACAAACACCTTTGAATTGCTGACTAATTTATAATATCATTCCACCCGCCGCCCTCGATACACTCCAACGCAACTTGAAGTTCCATCGTCCATCGTCCCTCAGCACCGATTGAACATATTCTCAAACACAACAAGTCATACTGAGGTACAGGTTGCCTTATCGGAGGCATATAACACAAAGAAGAATTAGACCTTGCCCTGCACGCTCAAACCCTCACCAGCTTGAGCAACGAGGAATCGAGCCTCGGGAGGAGTGACTCTCTCACTCACTCTCTATTTCTCTTACCGCCTGCGTGCGTGTCTGCGTGGGAACCTGCATACAATCACCTAGGTGCAACTGTGCGAACGCTGGCAGAAAACCAGTGGAAATTAAGGTGCTGTTTAGAGCTTTTCCGTCATAGCTTGAAGTGCTGCACTAGCTTCACGGCCATGCTTTCGCATCGCATCAATTGTTTTCCGGTGTGTCTCGAGGTCTTTCTCATGCTGAGAGATGATCGCAGACTGCTTCCGTACCAGATTCTCTAATTCTGCCGTCCTTTGGGACAAAACGGTAAGCTCGGAGCTCCAGATTAGTTCTTGAACCGAGTCTTCAAAGCTCCTCCCACCACTTTCTGGGCCCTGAGACATGTCCGAATGCAGGCCGCTGAGGGAAGGCGAAGTTCGCGATTGGCTTCTCGGCTCGGCATTTTCTTCCGTGGTACGTCGCTCCGGGGGCATATTGTTAGCCTTGGGCAAAGGGTCCGTGACCATGCAAGCCTCACCAGCCATACAGGGAGGGTCTGATTCTAGAGGGAAAGAAGCCACTTCCGCACCCTTCCCAGCGCTTAACATTTCCTGAAGATGGCCTTTCTCATGGGCATAAGGGCTTAAGCGGCCTGCGGCACGCGTAGCAGCCTCTTCGGTAGCAGGGGTCCACCTATCCAGACGGCCATGCCAGTTCGGGCTCAGCGGCCTTCTAGCATGTGTATCAATTTTTAGCGAAGAGGACTCCAGTTTCCGCTTCGGGGGACGGGCTTCCCTAGTTTCAGCAGCTTTAGCCTGAGCACTGCTGTTCGCGATGTTGATCGCGGTGTCAGCACGTCGAGGGCCATTCTTGACTGAGGTTGTGGATGCGGGCTCCCAGACAGGAGTGCCGGGATAACTAGCATCCTCGGAGCCAACTATTTTGTCCCGCTCATTAGTCATGTACCTTTCCTATATGATTTGACATTGGCGGGCATAATGGTCTTTGGCCTCGCCGCTCCCGAATTTAAGGCTAGCAGCGATATCCGCCCGTCGACGGTGGCGCCACTGGTCGACGAGGGAGGCAAGAAGACACTTCCTGTCACCATCGCAGCCGTTTCGCGTGATATATTGATCTCGGGCCCGAACATAAAACCGGGCGGCGGCCTCCAGGAATGGTTCCGAGTTGGAATAGATACCCATGGCCTTGGTGATTAATTTCTCAAAGCCATCAAACTCCTCGAGGTTTCTGTAGAATAGCATCGCGCGAAAGAGCACCACAAGCGTTCGGTAGATGCGCTCTTTCGGAGTTTGAGGTAGTTCCGTGCCTTCTATTATGGCTCGCCTCGATAGAGTGACCCTAGATCTGCTCTCGATTCCGAGTGGAAATCCCGAGATCACAAAGCCGTGGACCTCGAAGTCCGTAATTCCTGCCATTTTTGGTGGTTATCATGAAGTGGGAGGTGACTGGAATCTTATATAGAGAAAGGTAGTTGCTGATGAGTCTCCAGAGTAGCTTTGGAGCAGAGAACCAAAGCAAGATTTTTGCTCCTCCATTAAACTGCAAGGCACAAAGTAGAAAGTGAGAAGAAATCCTGAAGTGGAGCTATGTGATTAATATATACTAGGTTCAATCACAGAGAAAGGCCACAATCACCATAACAACATGTGACATAAGCAGTCGATTTTTGGTATCTCTCGTATATGTATTTTCTTTATCCCTTTTCCTTGATCATATAAAGTCTACTTGGAGAAGGATCAGCCCAGAGCATGACACAAATCGCTGTCTTGACGATATCACGCGTCGAGTCGGGGCTCAAGAATTAAAGAGGAGCCAACATCGCGCGGTATCACGTGATACCAACCATCTCATCCATGGTGCTTGGCCTTCACATATATCTTTGTATCAGAACAGAGCCTCGCTTGAACTACTCGTTGCCCCCCTCATAATCATCATCGCCACCGACGAACAGCGACCGTGACACAGGCATCCTTGACGACACTCTGCCGCTGCTAACTCGATCATCACACATCGCCATATCGAAGCGACGTGCTCCTTTTCCTTTCCAAGACACTCGCGAGGGAGCGCAACCTTTGCGCGTCAGCACTCGACTGAACCACACCACAGACGGTTTTCCGCCCAGCCTTCCTCCCCTCTTTTTCTTTTCCTTGCTCTTTTTTCGTTCAAATTTTCTAGAGACAGGGAGTTTCAGCCTCTCGACCAGCCGCTACCATGTCAGAAAGAAAAGTCCTCACGAAATACTACCCGGCGGACTTTGATCCGTCGGAGCTCACGCGCAAGAGGAAGCCCAAGCAGGCAGGCCCCAAGATCCAGCCCGTCCGCCTCATGGCGCCCTTCTCCATGAGATGCACCTCGTGCGGCGAATTCATCTACCGCGGCCGCAAGTTCAACGCCAGGAAAGAGACGCCCGTCGACGAGCGATACCTGGGCATCCAGATTGTCCGACTCCACATTCGGTGCACCCGGTGCAGCTCCGAAATCACCTTTCGGACGGATCCCAAGAACAACGACTACGCCATGGTCAAGGGGGCCGTCAGGAACATGGAGCCGTGGAGGGACCGCGTCGCCGAGGAGGAGACGGACGAGCAGAGGCTCGACCGCCTCGAAAGGGAAGAGGCCGAGGCGGCCGGGGAAGAGGAAAAGGACGCCATGGCGGAGCTGGAAGCGAAAATGCGGATGCCAAGCTGGACATGGCGGCGGCCGATGCCCTGGACGCCATCAGGCAGCGCAACGCGCGGATACAACTCGCCGCCAAGGAAGGCGTGGACTTTGCAGACGCCGTCGTTCGTTCGGAGGACGAGGAGAGGGCTAGGCAGGACAGGGAAGACGAGGAGGCGGCACGCAAGGCCTTTGCTAAGGTCAGGGGGACGCCAAGGGTGACCTGCTCGGCCAGCTAGGGATCGAGGAGCTGCCCCTTGATGAGGTTAGCGATGCCTTGGAAGAATCGGACGCCGCTACGCCCATGGGAACCTCCACAGCTTCGGGTTCTGCCACCGCGTCGGAGGACTCGTTAGCGATGCCGCCACCGTCCTTCAAGAGGGTGGTTAAAAGGAAACGCGACCATTCCGCCCTCTTAGGCATCAAGAAAAAGAAGCCTTTGGTTTAAAGAAAAATGCGAGGTGTCGGTTGACTATATCACCTTGTGTAACTCCTGGTCGTTTCTCACTTTTTAATCACTTTTATGTATATACTTCAGGATTGGGGATACCCGGCGCTGAGTCTTGGAAGGCTTCATCACACATCACAAACGATCTATCTAGAATTCTACCAGCCCTTTTTATGAACTATCATTCTTCTCCCTTCGTGATGCCAATAGCTGCTTCTTGCGATGCTACGCCGGTCAAAGGCATACGCTAGTGCTAGTCCACAGTCAACGAAGGGACGAAGGGTGCAGCGCAGTTTAGGTTCGTTGATAGTTTGTCACTCGAATGCGAGGGAGATGCGCCTACAAGGACGCCGATGAAGTAGTAAACGAACGAACGCTGTTTTTTGGCTCGAAAAAGAAAAGTGTTTCTGAATGACGAAACGAAACATAAATCGCGGTCGTTGCTTTGCATACCCGCCTAACGAGGAAAAAAGTCCTGCCTTGCTATAACTCCCATGAAACGTTGCTTAGATTTCTGATCCCGGTTCCCCTAGCCCATGATCTCCAAAAGGGAGGAAACAACGCCATGAACGCCCCAAATGTGTGCGGCCTTTGCCTAAAGAAAAGAACGAAATAAACCAGATAAACAAGCCAAATTGCAAGATGTCAGAAAAACGAATGGGCCAAGAATTGACCACCCAAACCCCCATGAAAAAAATATCGCGATGCATGTCAAGAACTCGGTCGGTGGGTATTCCTCTTCTAGCACCCCGTGTGATGCGTCCTACCCCTTTCTTTTAATCCATCCCAGCTGTCGGTAAGCTTGGGTTGTTGAAAGATCAGCCTGCATATGCTTTTCGGGGTTTGGAGTAGCTGGCCTGCAAGTGTTGCCGTGGTCGAATGATGGAAAGAAAATGATGCGTGTACGTTGTATCTAAGAAGATCTCGCCGGAACGAGATTTCTTCATCCGTCAAAGAAGGATTTCAAAGTGGTAGAGCACCAAGCCCAGGGGACTCATCATGTGCGGCCGCTTAGATTCGTGCCGTTCGTTGTGGTGGAATAGTTCGAAGAAGTAGCGGAACCTGGTTGCCTGTCCCGCGCCGAGGGGCCATTCTGGTGACCAGGCTTGTTATGCATCTCCTCCATCTGCTTCATTGTATGTTGGTGCATGGAGCGCGTGTAGGCGGCCATATCCATGGCAGGGGGCCCGTTGAGGGAGACAGAGTATTTGCCTTGCCGGGTAGCCATTTCGGAGGTTTGGAAGGGGAAAGATTGGGTCAAGAGGTTGACAGGGGAAACGGGTATGCTCAGGATGGTGAGAGGAGTTGTTGCAAAGATAATTGTTTAGGGGCCTGCCGACGATATTTGTTCGCGGTCAAGGGCTAGTAGAGCTTTGAAAGTGGAGAGACTCGGCACAATAGTGTGTGAAAGCACGATAACACGATGTCCGGAAAGGGTGGTGAAGCGCGCCACAACCCAAGGGATGAAGAAGGATTAGGAAAGTTAATGTTTAAGGAGGAGATAGGCTGAGAGGTATATTCGAAGGGTTGATCAGGAACTTTTTAGTGTTGAGTTGTAGCACAAGGAGTGGGTGGAGGAAAGAGAAGAAAGAAGGGCGAAAGCTTTAGTGGAGTAGGAGGTGGTCCAGGAATAATAAGCGGGTGCTTCGAGTGCTTAGGAGGAATGGATCAATGGTGTCGTTCTGGGCTTGCGTTTTTCTATTCCGAGAAATACAAGTCGTGAGTACTGGATTGGGAGTCGATTGGAACAGCTTCAGACTAGGCGAGGCAGGGTAAGGTGGGCTGTTGGAAAGAGACCTGCTGGGAATTTATAAAGGGCGTCGAGGATGGAGGGGGTGAGGCAAGGGAGAGGTTGTGGGGTGGTGGCGGGGTGATGTACAAGTACGACGTCAAGTTGAGGAAGTGACGAGAAGAGGTGAGGGTGAGAGAGTGGAGGGGTGTGACGAAAGGGGAGGGGCAGGAAAGTGCGAATCGACACTGGCAACATCGGGTGGGTGAGCAGCGCAGAGGGGGTGGAGCGAGGGTAGAGGGGGAAGAGATTGCAGAGAAGAAAAATAAGAGAATGTAAAAAGGGTCCAGACTGGTGCGAGGTCCAATCTTTCGGCGCGGCCTAGACTGCCCAAGGTTGACCTCTTGCCGTCATCGATGGCCGGTGGTGCGGCGTGGGATGGCATGGCTGAGGGTAATGATCATTCGACGTCTTCGCTTCCGGCTGAGCGCCCACCCGCATTTGGTCGTCGGGAAGCGCCCGTGTGCGACTCTCTCTCCGAAAGACAATTGAAAAAAGAGGCGTCATCACAAAATCGTGCCAGCGGCATCTATTGCCTTTCAGCCCTAGAAACCCAAGTCACAGGGTCCGGCTTCCCATCTAATTCGAAAACAGCAAAGTTGACCGGAAGGACTGAGGAACAGGGCCTGCGTGCAGCAGCACCAACCATCGCGAGGCGGTACCCTTTGTAAAGAAGTTCGCCCTTCTGTGCAGCAACGGCGACAGCCCCAGCGTTGTACAGTGGGAGATATTGATGCTGGTTGAGGCAGAAAACATTGATCCATCCATCCATCTTACTCCTTATGCACGCGCATGCGCGGAGACGTGTAAGCTATCTTCTGGGGGTTTGTTCTTTTCCCTCCAGGGAGGGGAAGGCAGCGCCATCACAAGGGTGAGCAGGGGGCCAAGCGCCTCGGGTCGTTTTCCTTCTGACTAAAATCGCCACTGGATTTATCTCCGGGGACCGCCGGGGCTCAAGGCGCTGCCAGCCCTGGGTTCTGGCCTCAAGTCTACCGAAGTACTCCCCACCACCGCTGTCGCTGGGAATTGGCGAAAGCTCGGGGAATTTTCGAACGATCTATGATGTTTATCAATGAGAATAAGTTTGGCTCGATTCGGCGTTGCTCATCGCACGCCGCTCATTCCCTCGCCCGCCATCAAGATAAGGAAGAAGTAAAAGGCCCTTTCCAGCTCAGGACGAAAAAGAAATTGAGTTACAGGGCTTGCACTATTGTTGCGCGGCACATGAGATTGGCCGGGTGGATCAAGTGCCATCGACCTGAGCAAATTCACGGGTGGGATGGCATGCCGCAAGCGTGGTCTGGGCTCGATAATGGACCATCGCAAGCCACCACCAATATAGTGTGGGCACACTCGAAGTCAAGGTGGGGAAAAACCGATGTTATGCAATTCGCAGGAGTTTGACTCGCAGTTTCCCCGGGCCAGGCTCTTGGATTTGCGGCGCTGAAAGCTATTGAAGGATATCCGCAATAGGATCAATATGTTCAAGCCCTATCTCCAAAGGGAGGGTTGCGAGGCCACGAAGTTCGTCAAACAACTCAAAAGGAAGCGCAGCCTGGGGGATTTGTCCAGTGGCGAGGAGCGAGCGCTATAGCCACCACCGCTATCATAATCACTCGTTGTTAACTATGGGTTTGGGCAAGTGGGGGTTGATGCTGTGTCCGGCATACAGTAATACAACAATATCAAACATTGATTGGAATTCAATTCTTCCATCACCTCCCCTTGAACGCTAACTAGATCAGAACTATGGGCACCTTTTTTATTTTTTATTTTCTGTCGGGGAATTTGGGACAAAGGGAAGGGTGGGCAGGGTGGGCCAGATCGGGAAGCTTTGCGGCGCGCCGCCACGATGACTCGGACTCGAGAAGGGAAATAGCGGACGGAATGAGTTACTTGAGTAATAGGTGCTCCGTCAATGTTTGTTGGGTTGGGTGACGGTCGAATTGCCATGATGTCACTGAGGGGCTGGGGTGGCAAATAGAGGGGTGTTCGCATAGTAAGATTAGGGCGATCGCTCTAAGTTTTGCAGAATCAAGAGAGTCACGGTACGCGGGCACCGAGGTACCTCGACCTCGCGAATGAATGCTCTGGAGGTGGTGAGATGATCCGTGTTCATCGTACGCCAGGCACTGCCGAGAGGCCGCTGCCTCGCCATTACGAGACCGACACAGAACTGATGATGGGATATGAATGGAGCCATGAAAGAAATGGATAGATCAATGACTCCGCTGCGCTTAGGCAATGACGGTAGTGACGGCATTAAACGAAACCCTTGACTTCTACAGAGGAGGCTTGTAGATGGGCATCCGCACGCCGGCGCGGAATTCAACGATTACTTTCGGCGGGCGAACTCTGGCCGCCAACGAGACGTGAGCAGAGCCGAATCTTTAGACGCCGGTGGTCCTCCGGTACAACGGAAGCGGTGATCGAGCCTCCGATACTGCATGGACCGGCATCAGTGAAAGCGCCAGTTGACGAAGTGCATGAACGATTGCCTTATTGTCTTTAGGAGAGATTTAATTATTTTTTGGACAAAACCTACTGGTCCTCCAAAATTCCTGTACCAAATCTGACAAAGAGGGATTCTGCGGGTGTTGAGGAATTCGCCACCGGCCAGTCAAGCAAGGTAGTAGGTGAGGGCAAGGAAAAGGAAGCGTGTTGCAGATCCCTCTTTGCACGCACGGGTCCCTGAGATGACGATTTACTATCAAAACGGATGCCGCTGGTGATTGGTTCTCATCACAATTTATTAGCGTGGCCCCTTGCGTAGCGGATTTTATCTGAAAGGAATCTGCTGGCTGATCGTCTTGTGCACTTTCCTAATTCTTCCCCGGGCTTCCCTCCCCAGTGAGTGGCCACCGATGATGCAGGAAAAGAAGGTATTAGAAAATGAAATCACAACCACACATCAGTAAGGTGGCGGACGGGTGCCTGCCTTTCCGAGATGACGCCGGTCCCAGTCTTTTCATCGTCACTTCCATCATCGTCCCGAAAAAGCCACCCAGATAATTTCCAAAGAGGCGGGGCGGAACTAGAAGCTAAAAAGAAGGAGTTTCCGTGCTCGGGAAGGAGGCGACGGGAATATGTTGCCCTCGAGCTCTACACACTCTGACGTGAGGCTCATCGTCATAGCCTTGCCACAACTCGCGATGGAAGAGAGGAGGGTGCACGGCGGGAGGCGAAGATGACTTCAAAATGGTCCCTCCCC